CCTAAGAGGATTTTAAGTGGGTTACCTTTGCCATAATAAAGTTTATTGTACTGTGGCTGAGCTTATGATAATATATTACGTTACATGTTCTGCCTGTCAAAGCATTGCTTTAATTTTTTAGTGAATATTGTGGTATCATCTTTTTACAGCTCCAGATCTGCAGCACAGTAGTTAGCTGGTTTTCTTCTGTCTGTGCAGCACAGGAGCAAACCACCTACAGCATTACACTGGCTTTCCTTCTTTCTCTCCCTTTTTCTTTTCCTATCTTTCTCTGTTTTGACTATTTAGGCCATCATTTTTTTTTTTCAAGGAAAAACTGCATTTTTTTAATGTTTTTACAATGTCTCAGGAAAATGCGGACCCGAACTTGACTGGAGCCTAAGGGCCCTGCTGTTGTAAAAGAAGGAACAACATACTGCAAAAGGGCTTATGAGTTTTGTAGCAGTATTTGTGGGTTTGTGGGAGAAAAAAAGCACTAGAACATAGATGACTTGAAATGTGTTCGTAAATCTGTGCTCTTCTTTGCAAAATCAAATGTTCTGCTGCTTCTTTTTTCTCTGTTACACCCAGATATAACATATAAACAAATAAGCCAGATCTGGGGCAGATGGGTTTTACTGGAATGGTATTCCTTCGCTACTTGGCACAACCTCTACTTGTAAAGCCTGTGCTCTAGAGATCATACTTGGGGAGAAGAAAAGAGGAGAAATTAGGACTTCAGAAAAAAGCTTCTTTCTTTAACCTAACTTGACTGAGATCATGCAAACACCTTGCATTAATTGATCTTGGTGTCACGTCTCCTGAATGATGAAGCTGAGACTCCCAAGCCAACAAACTGGACAGTTTCTGTGCCAGCTCTGTCCCCAGCAGCTCACTCAGGAAAGCCATTCTGATATACCTGGAGCACATCTGGGAAAGTCAAAACCCCAAACCATGTTTCACAAGGAAGAACCAAGGAAAGGTTTTCACCTGCATCTTCTAATATAGTTTTTCTTGTTCAGTATTTAAGCAGAATTTTCTCTGTTCCTTTCCAGAACAAATCCGTACCCATACCCTTTTCACCCCTTTACTAATCGCATTTGGAGTTGCTGCAGGACTGATGTGCATCGTAGTCATGATCCTGGTGTACATATATTTGCAGGTAAAATCAGAAGCCCCTCTGCTTGAGTTAGGAAAGTGCGTGAGCTGCCTGTGGAGGCTTCGGTAGTGACAGCCATTCTCTTTCCTTTCCAGAAACCCAAATACGAAGTTCAGTGGAAAGTTGTTGAAGAAATAAATGGAAACAACTATGTTTACATAGACCCAACGCAACTTCCTTATGATCACAAATGGGAATTTCCTAGAAACCGGTTGAGTTTTGGTTAGTTTAGATTTATTTAACTTCATCTGCAAGGTGAAACCTTCAGGTCTCATATGAGATTTTGGTCAAACACAGCAAGGTTTTGTCAAAAAAACGTTGTGCAATAATGCAAATAGTGGTAATTGCTTATACTTACCTTGGGACAAAAAGCAAGCAAGCGTATCTACAATAGTTTCCTTGATATCGTAAAATAAAATATTGAACCCTTCAGGAAGAAGTGCTCCACGTCATTACAGTGTATTTTGTTTTGCGTTATTAGGTAAAACCCTTGGTGCTGGAGCTTTTGGAAAAGTTGTTGAAGCCACTGCTTATGGTTTATTTAAATCTGATGCTGCTATGACAGTAGCAGTAAAGATGTTGAAACGTAAGTTACTGTAATACACTGTACAGTTTTTTCTCACTTCCTTCTGGTCAGTGTGTTACGTACTGAACATTGTCCTTTGCCTTGCAGCAAGTGCCCATTTAACAGAAAGAGAAGCCTTGATGTCAGAGCTTAAAGTGCTGAGTTACCTTGGAAACCACATTAATATCGTGAATCTGCTTGGAGCTTGCACTATTGGAGGTGGGGTTATCAACAGATTATTGATTATTTCTGTTCCTTTTTTATTGCCAGAAGGAGGAACCTTGTGAAGAAGAATACAGTGCCACTAAGTATAGAAATCTTAAATACATTTCTTGCTTAGGCAGGTTGCAGATCATCGTGACTATCGCCTGCGAATTACTGAATCTAGATTTTTAGCCTCATCCTAAAAGCAGTAATGAGACCACTGTAGCTGCAGCTAAAAAGGAAGGTTGCTGTTATTTTCTTTCATGTGAGCCATTGTGCGCTTTCTTCTTGAGAGATGACAGACTGCACAGCATAAGATTTTTCCTCAACCACAGTGTTTCTCACAAATGAGAAAAGATACGTGAACTGGTTCCTTGTTGGTATCCAAGGTGAAGTCAACAGGCCTGTCTTGTATAGTCTTCCAGCCTTCTGTTTAAACTGTAAATCTATCTGTTAAGGCACCACTGAAGTTACAAATTCTAAGCGCAGAAAGTTGGGAAGAAGAATTTTCCAGATAAACTATTGCACAACCCAAATGTTTCACATTTAATATTAACTTAATAACTGTTTTCATACATAGTAAAAGCTACAAAACAGCTGAAGTGTCAATACAGAGTGATACAGGCCTATATTTTTAATATATATGCATTTTAATATGAAAGATGTCACATGTAGTGATTTAAAAATAGGATGAAACAATTTTGTTTAAGCAGTCGACAAGGTAGACTCACTGGCCTGAGTGCATGTGTGTCTCAGCTGAAAAAATGTGGCATCTGTAAGAAAATCCCACCACAAACACTGCTTTTGCTGTTACGAAAGCTGCAATTTTTAACTGCAGAAAAATGGAAATAAACTAGTGAGGTTAGGAAACGATGGTAGAGAATAACCTTACAGATGAAATAACACTCAGTGCAATTACATATTCAAGGGCCATAGCTGGAGTCATTCACTCAGAAAACATATATTTGATCTATAAACATCCGTGCTGGAGATGACTTGATTCTCCTTTCCGATTTCATTTTAATATTCTAAGACCTTGTGCAATGTAGTTTTCTGTCGCAGTAGGCTGTTCTGTTTGAATAATTTTTCCTATTATACTGCAGAATATAACACTCTACATCATTTCCAAAACATTACTGAAGGAGTGTGAAGCTCTACTGTAAACAGAAGTGAATCAAAAGGATTAATGTTTGAAGCTTGAATTACTCTAACGTTTGGAACAAATAACTTCCTTCAGGAAGTGAGCAAAATCAAACAGATGTGTCTGGCCAGAAACATTATCACATGAAGAAAGAGAAAAAGGACTTATTTGTTTAATTTTTGTACAATGCAATGCTATTGAGGTGGTGGTGGGGAAATTAATTGGGAGCGACACAGCTTTAGCTGGACAATAGGTGCTGATCTGTGAAAGGGAGGATGCCGGGTTACTTTTCTATAACTTTTCAAGTCTAGACAGTGCTAGGCAGTGTGATTTTTAATAGCCCAGCCTGTGTGCTTGGCTGAATGCTATCTTTATGTAAGGTTTTCTGCTATGAAAATGATACTCACCTGCTTTCTGAATCTCACATACATCTACAGGGCCCACTCTGGTCATTACAGAATATTGCTGCTATGGTGATCTTTTAAATTTTCTGAGACGGAAACGAGATTCATTTATCTGTCCAAAACATGAAGAACATGCAGAAACAGCAGTTTACGAGAACCTTTTGCATCAGGCAGAGCCTGCGGCGTAAGTATGACTTGCTGAAATGTACTTGTGTTTTTAGAAGATTGGGAAGGAGGAGATATCAAAGTTTATTAGGGATAAGAAATGTGGAGACACCTTTCATGCAGCAGGCTCTGAAGATTCTTTGCTGTGCAAGGAAACAATTTAAGTAAAGAGACGATTTGTACAGTGGGTGGTTTATTCTAACACAGCACAATTGATTGTATACACTCTCTGTTTTACTTCTTTATCAAATTTCCTGTAGTTATTTCATGCAACCCCTTGGCTCCAGTCTTTGTACGTATTTGTGTTTATCGTTCCTGTTAAACATTGGCAGTGCTCATTTAGCAGCTTGAATGACAATTCCCCCAGTGTTGGGGTGTTAATACTCTGAGCTCTCCCAAGTTCCTGCCTTCAGAAATGACTTCTTACAAAATCAAACCAGCACCTTACGGTATCAGAGGCAAGCTGCCAGCGGTAGCTCGCTAGATTTTGTGATGACACGACCCGTGTCACGATTCTGAGATTGCTCTTGTACTTTGGCTTTTTTCAGTTACTTCATCTGTATATTTTTAACCACTCTGTTTCAGATACCAGCCCAGAGCTCTTTCCAAGTACGTTTCCAAGCAGATTTTGTGCTCGCTCCTTCCCTTTGCAAAGCGAGGGAGACATAACTTAGCAGAATGTAGGAATTGTTACAATACCTGTCCATTTTTATTTTTAGTCTGGTATTGCCCCAATGGGGCAATAAAGTAATTGTGTTAGCAGACACAAAAGAATCAGGCAGACCCTTAGGAGGTGGTAAAGTTCTTTGTCGCAGCAAGACATAGTACTGGTGAAGCTGTTTGTGCTGTGGCAATATATGGGTAGCTGGTGATAACCCAGAGAGGTTGGGACCACTGAGGTGATGAACACAAATCTGTGATTTGCCATTGGAGCTGTGCCCTTTTTTCAGTGCAGGAATCTCACTGCTTTAGCACATTTTGTAAATTGAGGTATTAACGGTGGAGTATTTACCAAATTCTCATATTAGTATTTACTGTAAAGTTGCAGCTGCTAAATGCGTCAGATGTGTTTGTGGTGGTGACTAAAACTATTGGTGATCTCATTACTCCTTTCCATGTTAGCTGTGTGGCTGCATTTATTGTTCATAAACTAAACAGATATTTCAGTCTAAGGGAGGGCTATGTATATGAGTTCTAATGGCAATGAAGTGAAAAACGCCAAAGTACATCTATCATTTCTAAAGGTGCCTAACTGTATATTTATAAACCATATAGTATGAAAATCTGTACATTTGAATTATATATAGCAATAAGAAAACTTAAACTTAAAAAATGTAGCAGATGGTTGTCCCAAGCCTTGGCTGATTCTTCAAAATACATACGAATCCCCTTTGGAACTTGGGAAACTCTGAATTTAACATTTTTTACCATTTGTCTTCTGCATTTCAATTGCCACTTGAGTTGCTGAAATATTCTGGTAGAAGTTGGCCTAAACAGAAGGAGGAAGCACTAGCAGATCCTGTGAAACATCTGGATGTTAATTTATAGAGTGAAGTCTGTATAAACAGTATACGTATGAAAAGTTTTGTTTGCTCACCTGAGCCAAACTCCAAACTTTGAGATATATCGTTAGCTGTACTGACAAACCTCTCTTTTTGTACAGGCCTTTCCTCATCTTTTTTACACACCCATGAGTTTCTAATCTACCGTTCATTTTTAAAGCATTATTTATATTATACCTTTATATTTAGAAGGTTGGCATAACCTTGGCTTTTTGTTTGGATTACTTTTGAGACCTTTTTCACTAAACTATGTTTCATTTCATCTGCTGCCTCAACAGCGATGTTGCCAGTGAGTACATGGACATGAAACCAGGAGTGTCATATGCAGTCCCACCAAAAGCTGATAAAAAACGACCAGTGAAGTCTGGTGAGTACAGTGACATGGAATTCTGTTTGCTGGTGGCATTGCAGAGAGAGGGGCTTCAGGAATTTTTTCAGTTTTATCATACTTTCCTCTCATGGATGGGATGATTAAAACTCATTAATTGGTATGAGAAGGCTTGAGAAAGAACAGTGTGCTAAATTACAGTGTCTTATATTTCTCCACACTTAAATGGAGTATCAGGATTATTTTTTCCTTTTTGGCAGTGGGCTATTTATATGACTCTAGTCTGGTACTTATTCAGATCACTGTTTTGTTTAACGTTAAGACAACTCTGTTTCTAAATGATTACGCTTGCTCCACTCAAAAGCTGTTGTTGTTTATATTGTGTAGGATCCTACACCGATCAGGATGTTACCCTTTCTATGTTGGAAGATGATGAACTTGCTCTAGATGTCGAAGATCTACTAAGCTTTTCTTACCAGGTGGCAAAGGGCATGAGCTTCCTTGCCTCCAAAAACGTAAGCTAAGAATTTGTCAGAGCTGGACAGAATCAGCAGATTTCTGATTTCCTTTAGCATCATTTTCAGTGTTTTGGTGTGATCCACATGTTTAAAAGCTGAATATTTCTGTGTTCTTTTCAACAAGCACTGCAAATTGATATGCTCTTTCTCGTACCTAAAGCTTTGACTAATGTTGGAGTTCCGTACTGTGCTCATTGGCCAAAAGTGGTCCTTTATATCCCATAAAACAGAATACAGGGTGCACAGTAGTCAACAAGAAGCAGTGCTGTTGCGTATCTGCAGTTCAGGCTGATAGAATTGGTGGCCTTGCTCATGAACAGAAACGAGTCATAGAAATGTCAAGAGAAGAGACAGAGAGGAACTGCAGCAGAGTAGGTGTGCTGCACCCCGAGGCTCCACGGATTAACAATGTCATGTGCTGGGAGACGGCAGGCACAGCTGAACCCTGCCTGGCTTGGGTGCTGCCTCTTACGGGTTTGGTCTTCATCCCTTCCTTTGCTTCCTGGAGCACACAGGTAGTTTCATGAGAACTCCTGATGGCTTCGGAGGCAGTGAAACCCACAGGAACCCCGAGGAGTTAGTAATGGGAATGAAATGGAATTCAGGAAAGAACCAGAAACCCGACATGTGGATGCCTTCAAAAACAATTAAATCTCAAGAGTTTAAGGTTTATTCTCTGTGGTACTGCTGGAAAGTTTACAAACTAAAGAACAGTATGAAGACAGCTGCAAAGCTATCTATTTTCATGAGTTTTAAACAATGCTGCACTGGCTACTTCTCTTATGCAGAATACTGCCTTAAACAGGGGAGCTATCACATTGTGTGCTTTTTTTTTTTTTAGTAGTATGGCTTAATGCACAGGATATGTCTTGGTTTTTAATTTTCTGGAAAGGTAAAATCAGCCTAGAGACCCACAAAGAATCTTCACGGCCTACCCTGAGCATAATAGACATTTCTCTGGGTTTCATAGGATAGATATTGCATAACAGAAAGGGATTTATAAAGAATAGAAGCCTTAAGCACAGCATAATTATGATCTTCCTATGGTTATTCTTATGTTTTATTGGAATAATGCCATTTAACATGTAAAAATTGTAACTAGTATAGACAGAGGATAGTACAGGTGCACCTTGGATAAAGTGCAAAACCAAACTTAGGCAATTTAGGGAAAATAAGGTAATCCTGGCATCCTGTGTTAGTAGTGGGAAATGTCACTCTAATTCTGCTCCAAAGGAAATCCACGTTAAAACTTGCTCTTGCACTTGTTTTTTTCCCCCACTGTTCCTCCTTCCAAACCCTTTAGTTTATTTTGCATCTATCAACAGCTTCAAAACAGGTCTGACAGGCAAACACATTATATTACAGATTTTAATGGTTTTCACCAGGCTCCTGCATCCTTCACTATTCAGAACATCCAGTGCTTAGGACACGTATTCTTTATTTCTTCTTATTTTCCTGTAGAATAGCCCCAGGATTCACTATGCATCATTCCCGGTGACTATTTTCTGTATAGTCTTTCCCTTGATACAAACAGACACTGTGGCATTGAGTAGCAAAGGCAACAATGAATGTAACACCACCTGGCTGTGAGATGGGGAAGCAATGTGCAGTATCGCTTTGGCAGTGCAGAATTAGCGGCTTTATCACAGAATTAAGTTGCACTGTGCTAACACATTACTGTGCTTGGTCTTCTTTGGTCATTGTGTACACACATGCACTTAGCTCCAGCTAGTAAATGCAGAGTAGTCTGGACTGATGGATAAGATGCTTCAGATTGCCTCACACCCTTGGGGAAGGAGGGTCCATGCAGACCAACAGTGCTGAGTACCCAGCTGCTCTTCTGCAACTTGTTTGTGTATCAAGGCTCAGAGGCATAAAAGTGCCTCTGTGCAGGAGTTGGGGTAGGAGCCTGTCCTGGGGGGATAATTCCCTTATTAAGCACATGGTGCCTTAATCACAAGACAGGGCTTCCTCCAATGGACAAAGTCTTTATTCAGTGCAAACGGCACTGATTCTGGAGGAACAAGGCAGAGACATGCTGGATGCTTGGCCATTCCTTCACTTTACTGCTTCAGTGTGGTAATTTTCATAAGCAAAGTGAAGAATATGTTGGATTGGGAGGTGAAGGAGAGTCAGTAGTTGTCATAATAGTTCCTCATGTAAGCACGCAAAAGGGACAGAGATTAAGTTGCTTATGCTTATGCAACCTGCAGTTACCATTTTCTGAGTTTGATTTGCATAATTATTGATATTTTAAGTAATTTTTTGTAGGGAACTCTTAAAGTTTTGTATTTCAAGGAAAAAAATGAAGAGAAAAATTGAACCATCTTCAGCTATTTTTTGGAAAGCTGTGGCCTGTGTACTGTATACCGTCAGTACAGTGGGAACTTAACGCTCTCCTTTCCAGATGGAAAAATAGATCATTTGGTTAGAGAACTGCCTCCATTCTCTTAACAAATGCACGTGGGCTCCACAGTTGCATACAAAGAAAACGCAACCACTGGGAAACTCAGGCACACTCCTGGAGCTGCAGTTACAAACACATGCACACTTCTCAAGTGAAAACTGGAATATAAGCTAACTAGGTCACTAAATGCATGACTATTCCTTGAAAGATACTGGCATGTGAAAATTTCCAGTATTTTCAAATACTCAGGCCTGCTTATAAAACTCTCCTAGGTACTTAATAATTCAAGTCTTCCAGAGGAGTATTTTTGAAATGGGATTCAGTTTCCTGACTCGTGTACTTTAAAGTTGTTACCGTAATTTTCCGTATTTTCAGCTTTTCAGCACTTTCCCCTCAACCACAATAGCTACTTAATAAAAGGTTGGAATTATTTTAGAAAAAAACCACAGTTTCCTCTAATGTGCCCTGTGTTAGGAAACAAGCCAGTGATTTTTTGAGAAAAAGTCAGAGAAAAAGTACATTAAACTTGAACTGCAAATGTGGAAGAAAATTCAAAGTGACTGCAAGTGGTCTTTTCTAAAATAAATGCATAAACAACCTTAACCATGTGGATCAATGTCATGATAGTAAAGATACTGCACCAGAATGTTTAATCATCTGAGTAAGCTTATTAATAAATGGCTTCATTATGACTTTCAGCTTGCCATAAAATGCATAATGCATTAAGTTATATAGCTAAGTAAACATGTAACCAAGCAACAGCCTGTTAAGGATATTATAAAATAGCTTTGTTTGTTTGTCTGTTTGTTGTTTAGTGCATTCATCGGGATCTGGCCGCAAGAAATATTCTTCTAACTCATGGTCGGATAACAAAAATCTGTGACTTTGGCCTGGCAAGAGACATAAGGAATGACTCAAATTATGTGGTCAAAGGAAACGTAAGTATATATGATACTTTATCCAACTGTTTTAAGTTAGGGGAGTTCCTGTTGTCTTGACTTGCAAAGAGAAGTCTTTCTTAGGCAGAAGTCTAGATTTCCCAATTCTGGTATATATCCATGCTGGTCAGGAATGTTAGGAGGGGCAATTCTTGACATAGATGTGTTTGCTGACAAAACCCTTGGTATATGCATGTTGTTATACTGGAAAAAACGTGCTGGTATCTGAATGTGTGTTGTAGTGGAGGAGATGTTTTTGCTGCACCAGTATAACGCCCAGTCTTTCTGTTATATCTGAATGTACTAAAAATTACAGTTCTGTGAGTAATTGCACGTTTTGCTATTGGAATATTCTGGTAGCCCAATCTTTAATATTATTGTTTTGAAACTTTTTCTCTGGGCATTGCTACATTTGTCCATTACTGAAATAGTTTAGTTTTAAAATATCTGAATAATCAGGGGTTTGCATCCTGTTCGTTGCTATAAAGCATCACTCAGACAACATAAGCTGGGTTCTGAAGTGTGTATTTATTAGGGCATAATGGGACGCAAAAAAGCCTTGGTTTTATCTGATTCCATATACAGATTTTAACCTCGTGTGTGTAACATACAGCTTTAACTTGCAGCTGTAATTCAAACCCTGTAATAAGGTTGGAACAAGACACTATATTTTGATGAGAAAAGTTTAAAACCTCCTATGTAGAAGAGTACCGATTACACTAGTATGTACTAGACCTCTGCAGGCATACAAAGACACTTTGAAGTGATGCGGATTACCTTGGCAGTACTCGGAAGTCCCCTTTAAAGTGCTAGTGCAGTAAAAGGAGCCCTACTACAAAAGAAAATTGAGTCTGTCTGTGGTTAAACTGGAGAAGTGTGATACAGAGTATAGATATTTTGCATCTCGAACTGATTTGCGCTGCCTGGATTAATGTTGTAAGCCTGCGTCAGGTACATGCAGCCATCCGCTGCCTTCAGAGCACACATGTTTTCACTTGCACCATTTTTCAAAGGAGAGAAGATCTACGTTCAACAAGGGAGCCCTCCTCCCCAGCCCTGCTGAGTGCTGCATGGTCAGAGGCTGGTCGTTAGTTAGGGACTTGACAAGACACAAACCAAAGGTTGCCTATCCAGGCTTTGGGCAAGCTGATGAAGAGAGAAAATCCAACACCAGGGCATCTCTCACCAAAGTGTTTTGCCATGCTTGGTTAACCTCAGTCAGTCCATGGCACCTCAGGTATCTGAGAGATCTTTGCTGTCACCCAGCAGGCCCTGATGGGGAACTGATGTAGTACAGCACCCCTGTTTTAGGCTGCGGGACAGAAGGGTTTATTGCTTGTCTTCAAAAACAGTCTTGGTACCAGCCATTGAGTGCCTAGAAGTTGAGGTTAGGGAACAACAGGAGCAGAAATAATTCAGGAATGGCTGTCCTGGCAAAATACTAAGTGGCATTAATGTAAGAAAGCTGCGTTCAGGCTGAGGGTCAGGACAGGAGCTGGCTCCTGGGAGTGGGAAGTGCAGACCAGCAGCTTAGGAGGGAAGTGGACAGTAAGTAATGAAGTTCTACACGTCTAGGCTACCCTTTAAGTTTCCTGAGTTCCCTGACAATAGGATTTTATGTAGCCTGAAAGGGTCAGAGGAGGATAGGCTGTAGCTGCCTGGGGAGAGAGGAAGCAGTGGCTGCGGGAGGCGTCTGGTTGCATCTGGCCTGATCTTAAAGCAGATCAGGAGTGCTGGGGCATCGCTAGCCATGGACACTGCTGGGAGGCAGTGCTGCTGACAGCGGCTAGGGGCTTGACCAGGAGGAGTGTTTGCTGTCTGTGTTGTTCAAGAAATAAACAACTCTGGTTGCCTCTCTGGTGAGCCAGCCCATGGCAAATACTGCCTTTTCTCCACCTCATTTCTTTTCCTTTCCATTTACCTCCTTTTCTGTTGGGTGTCCTTTTCCTACAAGACATCCAGGCTCTTCTCTATAGTATGGTTGAAATAGGTCTTTGGACATGTTGTTGCAAGACCACTTAAAAGGAAGAGGTCTGGTTTCTCCCACAGCAGAGCAAGTGCTTAGGACAGAAGCCTGACTGGCTCCTACAGTCAGACAAGGAAAGGGCAAAGTAGGGAGAGGAAGGTGGAAGCAAATCCAAAGGCTTTCTGTACCCTTTCCTCTGTTCCAGTTAGCAGTCCTGAGAGATGTCTGTCCCTACACAAACTTAACGAAAAATGTCAATATATATTTCTTTCATGGGAATTTTCTTTTTTTTTTTTTTTCTGATACACTGAGGAGCTAAAGCAGATGTCTTAACTGTTGATTAAAGCCTTGAAGCATCTCAACTATGTGAATCTCATCTGTGTGCCTATGGTAGCTAGCCCATGGAAGTAGACTTGCACGTTTGCATAAGGAACCATGCCATGGTCATATATACTATTTTGCTCTGACTTCCTGCCATTCCTTATAAACAAGACAGAAGGAATCACACAGCATACAGAAAATCAGAGTGCAAGTAACTACATGAGTTTGGTAGACCCACAGGAAGGTGGATCAATAACCATGCAGCACTTAGAGACTCTAAAATGCTGAGATTTCCATTTTTGATTGGGTACTTCTATTTCTTGATTTAATGAGTATTTAAAGCACATAAGAAGTAAAAAAGGTTAATTTTGTCTTGTAAATTTTGTATGCCTTATATCCATTGTCTTAATTTATTCCCTTTTCCCTGGAAAGGCTCGTCTTCCTGTGAAGTGGATGGCACCTGAAAGTATTTTCAATTGCGTCTACACCTTTGAGAGTGATGTCTGGTCTTACGGGATATTGCTTTGGGAGCTCTTTTCTTTAGGTAAGCTCCTTCAAGATCTATACTTCTACAGGGGATTTCTGTTTCGTCTTGGTTTTACTGCACATGCAGAAATCATGTTGCTCATGTGCTCTCTCAACAGGAAGCAGCCCCTATCCAGGGATGCCCGTGGACTCCAAGTTCTATAAAATGATCAAGGAGGGATACAGGATGTTCAGCCCTGAGTGTGCACCGCCTGAAATGTAAGTGAGCAACCAGCACCTCTAATCACCAAACGTCAGCAATGATGCAAAGGAAGGGAAGCTTTCATTCTTGCATTAAGGCTCATTGCGCTGACCCGTTGTCTTTTTTTTTAAGTTCTTTTCACATTTTAAATAATTCATGTACTCTTAACTAGTGGAACACATGCCTGTGTTGTTACAAGCAATGAAATACACTCATGCCTTGTACCATCTGATCACTTTGTCATGGCATCTGCTCCGTGTCAATAAATTATTGACAGATCACAGAACATAATTAAACATTTTTAATTCAGATAAAGTAGTCAGTGAGATGTATCACCAGACTGTACAGCATCTGCATTTGTGCTGTACTTCCTGACAGCAAGAGGACTGGCTACTGATCTTCTTTATGAGCCATGCCATGCCTAATTCATTGTTTTTTAAATGGATTGGCACTTAGCAAGCTGTCAAAGAAAACTGTGTCCAGAAACTCCCTTTAGTATTGAGTCCTTTGTTGTCACAAGCACAGGTGTTAGCAGCACTATTTCTATTCTCAAAAGTCATTTAAAGAAGGCAAACTGGGGGATTGGGTCACACTTTTCTTTCAAATAATAATGGAGGCGACATAAGAGCTTTAAGGATTTCCTCATGAGCGGTACTTAATTTCAGTATGTTTGCAGGTATGACATAATGAAGAGTTGCTGGGATGCTGATCCTTTACAGAGACCCACATTTAAACAAATTGTACAGCTGATAGAGCAGCAGCTTTCAGATAATGCCCCCCGGGTAAGTTATGGATCATCAGTTTTCTGGAGTCAAAGCAGTTTCAAGCAAGACGTTAGGCGAGAGCTGTGAGGAGCAAAGAGCCTGGATGTTTCATTAATTTTCCAGTATTATTTATGTAGCTTTGCACTGTCAGTTTGGGTGGTAGGAATGCTACTCACTTCTGCTTAGTTGTGCCATTAGACAGTAGCTGTCTAAGCCCATACCCAAAATGTACCAGCTGGAGAAGATTCCTTGCATGCTTGATGTTTCTCACTCAAAATAGACCTGACACAACAATTTTGATGTTACAAAATGCAAGGGTACTGCATAAATTCATCTTATCTTAAACTATGAAAAGTTTTATTAATCTGGGAAACATCTCAGAAGTGAAGTATGTTTAGATTTTATTAGAAAAGCTTTCTGGATGAAGGGGTTGAGCTTTTGGTGCTCTTCTGTCTCTTCTCACTTGCTTCCCGTAGCTCTATTTATATAACCTTGGAGGTATGTTGTGACAAACTATATTCACTGCTCTTTCGACCATTCCCTAGTAAAAGCTTTTTCTGGGAGGGTAACTGGGCAAAACAGTCCAAAGAAAAATTGGAGGCACATCAGAAAACTTGGATTTTCTCTCGCAATAACATTGTGTGTTATTGGGGTTTAAAAAAGTAAGTTTAAAACCTGGTTTAAAAATAAAGTTTCCTTTTGCCTTCTGGATGCCTTGTTTTGGCACAGAGTACATGGCTTCCTGACAATTTGAGAAAAGAGGAAACTGAAAGCTGCTGGTGTTCGATTGCATCCTGTAGCGTATTTTTGGCAGGTGCAGGCATTACTAAAACAAAAGCAAGAATGCGAAGGAAATATTAGTGAGGTTTCTAGGGGAGTTTAGCAATAACCTGAGCTGCGGTTTTTTCAAGCTCAGTTGAAATTTGGCATGCAGTTGGAACCTGCAGTCCTATTAGTAACTGAGATTGAGGTTCTTGACTCTTTAAAAGAGCAGTTAAGCCCAAGACCTTTTGAAACTCTCTTTAGATTTGCAAAAAAACACCTGAGCTGGAATCCTTCCACGGCAGTGTGTGCTACACAGTGAGAAAAGGCTAGGAAAGGAGAGCTCTCCAAGTATGCTTGAATGCAGCGGTCTGCAGAGTATTGACACCGGTCTTTGGCTTCTGCAGGTTTATGCAAACTTCTCAACTCCACTTTCCAGTCAAGGAAATGCTCCAGATCACTCGGTGAGGATTAACTCGGTGGGTAGCAGTGCTTCATCTACTCAGCCTCTCCTGGTACGCGAAGACGTTTGAGTGGCGTCTGGAAGAAGAGGAGCCCAGATGTATTAGCTGTTTGTATTGTGCAGGGGGTGAGAGAGGGATGACTTCAATAATTTCTCTTACTTTTACTCACTACTACCACCGTGTAGCTGAAACGTTGTTGTAATACTGTCCTTTACCACACACTGTTACACATAGGCTTAATCTGCTGAGCACGGTTACAGGCATCATTGCAATGTTAACTGAAGCTGTATATATTTTGCTATATTGTGTGTATTTGCAGTAGAGAGCCAGATCTGAAGAAAAAAAACAACCAACAAAAGAAATCCTGAGCCAGGGTGTGGAATGAGATGACTGCAGATCAGACCACATCTGCAGTGATCCTTCTCTGGATCTGTGCCTAGAAGGCATACAGTCATTTTTCTAGTTGATCTTGTTTTGCTGAATTTAAGAAATAAATGAATATGAAGCTAATGGCTTTGCAAACCCCTTTTCACATTCAGTCAAGCCTGAGAAGCTTTCCCAGGCAGGTGTCGTAGGTTGGAGGCCAGCAAGGGTGCTGTATGTACCGGAGCAAGAGAGGTGAAGGGACTGAGCCCCTTCCAAAGTTGGTCTGCGCAGCAGCTAACCCTCCTGGGAGCTCTGGGGCTTGAACCAGAGGAGGGGAGACGAGCGTGGATCTTCATCTTTATTTCCCACCTGCGCTGTCAGCCTCGCAGACAGGTTGTGAGGTTTCTGTGGGTATATGCACTACTTCCCGCTGGCCTGTTCCCCGCCAGGGACAGAGCTGCCCATCACTGGGTCTCACCCCACCACGGAGCCTGAACTGCTCCTGCGCCCCCCTGCCTTGGGAGCCCAAGGGCCTTGATGCTTGTTTTGCTAATAGTCATGTCCAAAAGTGTTCACCAAAGATAGGTGGGCCCTGCCAAGTTGGTCAAAATAGAGGAGGAGGGCTGCTTCCACTAAACTGTGTGTCTGGAGGAGAGGCCGTTTAACGAGTCATCTTATCTAAGCGAGAGCAGAGGCAAAAAACTCTCTCCTGGGGGCCCTTTCTTTATCTTGTCCTACCCAGGTGAATCTTTCCCACAGGCAGGCTTGGATAGTGCTAACTGGAAAGGGCTATTTCCCCCCACCCTGTGTCATTTCATTTTCTATAGTAGTCCAGAGATCATAACGAAGAAGACCCTAATTGGGAAGCGCTGAATTTATAAATTGGATAAAAGAAAGAATCCCTTTAGTCTTATTTGACAGACGTGAGGCTTTGGGGTCAGTATCTGTGGTTGTGCTCACGTATCCTCTAACCCCTTTTCTTCCCATTGGAAACACTGCTAGTTCTTTTCTTCCTTTGTTTCTGTTCCCTAGAAATTAGTAAAGGCATTGAGAGAAGCATTTGTCAGAGGCAGAGTACTAGTTAAGTACCTATTTATTTACAATGCACTTAAGCACTCCATAACTTATACTTTATCAGGATTTTGGTTGAGTTTACATGCAGTTCAAATGTGTAACTAACTGCCCAAATGCAAGGTAGTTGTAAATACACACACTGGTAGTATATTTTGGGTTATGTTGAATACCACGCTCCTTCTGTGACTGTGTATTTGGTTTATTCTTACAGGAATCTGTCTTTCAGAGTTAAGTCAAAAGTTAGCCATTTGCACTGAACTTACTTAGGCTGTTGCACCTTTCCAAAGTTAGCCAGTTGTTTGGAGGCACTCTTATGCATACTTCTTGTTGAGCATTTTCAGTTTAATGCTATAAAAGCTCTTTTGTAACGTGTTGGCTTTCAGAGCAACTGTAGACAAACTAGTTGTTATAATTATAGATGTCTCGGTACTTTACGGACACTTAGCTGAAAGAGGTTTGGGTTTTTTTTGTTCTTGAAATTTATATTTTTATAATTTGGGGATTTTTGAAACTTATTTTGCAATGGCTTGGTGTTTTGAATGGGTTTATGCATTTTTTTTGTAAATATGGAAATGTAGCAATAATGTCCTTTTGACTCTCCTCAGTCCTTGAGTCTCAAAAATATTTTTTTATATATATATATATGCAAAAACTATATGTATAAATATGTAAGTGTTTGAAAGTTTATGAAACACTTCTGGATATGTTGCTTGGTTGTAGAATTGCAGTTCAGAAAAGTTCAAATAAATCTGTAAATATGTATTCAAATACTGCTGTGTACTATGTTGAGATGGAATATTTTCATGTAAGTCAATAAATTCTTGGGTTGAAGCAAAACCTCAGTGTCTGGCCACACAGAGGTCAAGTTTGGCATTCTGAAACATTTTTGCAGATGTGTGCCAGAAAACCGTAATGTTTATTTGTTATGAAAGTTCTTTACCTGTGAATATATGGGACAAATACTCGGAAACTTGGATACAGCTTTATTCTGGAAAAATTCACAACTAGAAGATTGATCCTGTAGACTGTTGATGCAGTCTATATGTCAGTATTTAAAACTGAACAAAAATATCTCAGTGTTATTAAAGGTGTGGTTGCTGGAGCCACTCAAAGTCTGCAGCGATGCTGAATATTCCCCCTTCGCTCGAACACATGTACACGCGCACACTCTGGTCCCCTCTTGCACGCTGGCACTGGAGCGCGAGCTGGGCTGGCTGAATGCGACGCCATGGGGGAGGCAGCATGAGATACCCAGTGCTGCTTGGGTTGGGGGGGTCATAAAGAGAAAACGTAACGCTTCCCTTGCTGAGCAGGTATGCTGCATCTTAGTTGGAGACCCTCTGCTTTAATTACTCCAGGTTTGGAATCTGACTCACCTGCTCACACTTGTTCCTCTACTGCATAAGGGTTTGCATCAGCATGGTTGGTGTGTGGTTTAAAAGTAGGTACAGAGCATATACGCAGAATTTTCTAGAACTATCCTACCAAAACGCCTACTAACTCATATGAGAGACAGACCTCAACTGTTTTGGTCCTTAAACATTTCTGTTCTGTCAACAGACCTCCTTGAAGAGCTCCCCTCCTTCAGAGTTTCCTTTTTAAAACAGCTTCCTTTTTTTTTTCCTTTTTTGCTTCCACCCAAGTCTTGGCTCTATTTGTTAAAACTAATTAAGGAAATTAAAAACTAAATTTGTCAGGAGCCAGGAGGTGCAAGCTTTGCCAGAATTAGCATTGTCATTGTTTTCTAATAATGCCTCAGAGGATACCAAGATTATGGCTGATTTTGAACCATTTTTTTCTCCTGTCTTGTCCACCCCACCATTCAAGCAAAGTAGGCTTCATACTGAGGCATCCCAGTAGCTGAATTGGTACGAATAATTTGTGAATTCTTATTTAGCATAGCCAAAGGAGCTATTTTACCTATTTATTTGGTTAGCACGTCATTAATTTTATTTTCCTGAAATGCTTCCCCTTCTGAAGCAACCTAGAATACAGCATCTCTGCTCTCTGAAAAAATCTTTCTCCTATTTTCTTATTACAAAGCTTGCGATGATTACCGCCTCTCTTCCTCTTCATGGTCACACAGACCATTTCCCCCTGAATTATTTTCTTGTACCGGTTCTAAGCAATAGCTTACATGGAAAAGCACATCAGGAAGGCATTTAATATGTATTTTATCTGTCCTTCAAAGCATTATTCTACCCAGATATAAAGAGAAACCTGCACCATGTTACCAACATGGACCATCAGGACCATGGAGCATCATGGACCAAATATCCGAAGGGAGGGTGCAAATAGGATGGAGCCAGGCGCTTCTCAGTGGTGCCCAGTGACAGGACCAGAGGCAGTGGGCACAAAGTAAAACACAGGAGGTTCCCTCTGAATGTCAGGAAACACTTTTTTTTACTGTGAGGATGACTGAGCTCTGGCACAGGTTGCCCAGAGAGGTTGTGGAGTCTCCGTCTTTGAAGATACTCAGAAACCATCTGGACACGGTCCTGGACAATTGGCTCTAGGTGGACCTGCTTGAGCAGGGGGATTGGACCAGATGACCTCCAGAGGTTCCAACCTCAACCCTTCTGTGATTCTGCAATCAGCAAGGGCACTTTGGAGAATCTCAGCTGTAACATTCACTTGGCCAGAAGTAGAAAAGAAAATCCCACCCTTGTACTGAACACTATAGAATGATTCTTCCTCTGTTCTCTTTACTAGCTAGAGAAGAAAATTGGAGGCTCTGTGGGACAGAAGAAGAAAGATTGTGGACACACTACGGTATCATGGAGTTAGCGACCAGTATCATATACATCACCACCACCAGATTTTTTTGTTTCTGGTTCTCCTTCACATCTGTATGCTGTATAGGTCTTTGGGGAGGTTATCTGTAAATGGAGACACCATGCGCCCAGCCAAGTCACCAGGGGACAACCAGTCACACCCTGGACTGAAATGTTCCCAGCGATCACTGGAGAGGCTGGACAACAGCATCCTTAATTCTACTGCGTTGTAGGCTGAAACGGAGAGAGCGAAACATTTCCCTCTTCCTCTACGTGGATTAGGAAACTTCCTGCTTCTCCTGTGGGGAGGTCTGAGTCTCAACACAGGACGAGGAGCAGTTGCACAGACTTTTTAGCCCCTGGTTTAGAACTGAAACAATAACAAAAATACGAAAACCTACTCTGCAGTTCTGTTGTGGTTTCCAGAAACTTCTGTAACTATGAAAAAGGGTTACAGATGACCTTCAATTGCCATGTTTCCTGAGCACTAATTTCTTAAAAGGTTACACTGTAACTAGGAAGTTTATGTCCAAAAACTGCTCTGAGGCTATGTTTTCTGAAAGATTGTCCATATTTCATAAATTGATTATCAGTCACTCTTTTTGGTGAGAATTGTTATCTGTCAGCTGCCAACCAGGCAGCAGAGATTATTTACTAGCAGTGATAGCTCCAGTGACTTGATTTCTCTGTTGGTGCCCTGGAAATCATTTTAGCTAGATTGTGACAGGCAGTAGAAAGCAGCTGACCCTGAAGGGCCCGTTGGGCTTTGAGCCTGCACTCCTTGCTAAGCAATGTCAGCAGCATCAGATAAGGGGTTCACTTGGCAGATTGAGCGCTATGCAACCATCAGGTCACCACACGGGAAGGCACAGCGTGTAGCTTCCCCTATAGATCAGTACATATCAGTGTGTAGTGCGAGTTACCCCCGTACTTTGTCTAGTTGCAGAAAGCGCAAAATAATCTCTGGCTTCCCCCAAATATGTGTATTTTGAGAAACACCAGCACCAGTGGCTGGCTGCATGTCTTCTGTGAACTATACTGCATGTGCTTTTGGCTGATCTAAGTATTGCTACCAGGCAGGCGGCCTTGCTCTTACTATGTGGTTGTGCAGGGGTTTGGTGCGGTCATTCAAAAACAAGTTGGCTTAGTGGTACATCTGAGCACACACTTTTGGTGACTGAAATAGCATGTGACATTTGACTTGCCTGCTCAGGGTGGGAGGAGGGCTGCTGAGCAGGGCAGCAGACCCAGATCTAGCTGCCTGGTGGGCTGGGGATGAAAGGAGTC